TTTTTTTTTTTTTTTGTCATTAAAACCTCTCAAGAAAATGTCTAGCATCATTTACACAAGTAGTGAGAAGATCAGTGTATTATTTTAAAAGAATGTTAGGAAGGTGCAGCTTGTGGGAGTGGTGCTTTCCTGTGCCACTAAATCATCAGATACAGGAAAATAGCAACCCCACCCAGGAACAAAAGAAGCCCTGTTTGCATTCTATCACGGTTCTACTTTCTAAGGTAAGCATGAAAATCATTAACCACAGTGACAAATAATCCATTACAGGATTTGTGCAGAGCGCTTAGCTGCTCTAAGGAAAGATGTAATGAGGTGAACCACATGGATACATTTAAAATAAGTTTTATTCTAATCACATGTTACACATTTACACACACACACTCCTCTATATACCATATTCATGCAAGATCACATTGTAAATGTTCATGGTTAAGGGACTTTGAAGCCATGCATTTAGAAGGAGAGAAATACACAACAGTGGGAAATGGGACGACCTTGGAATCCTGAAACTTCAGAATGAGAAATCGGAGAATCAGGTCACACCATCCAATGATCTCATTTGGGATGAGACTAAGAATCCACAGGCCGGTGCCAGCAGAGCTGGTGGACTTGGGTCCCCACCCTGGCAGCCCCCTTTCCCCAGCATGCTCCTAGAACCCTGCTCATGGCCCACGCCTCCTCCTGGGCTGCAGCTGGTGCCTGCACTGTTCCTCTGGACACTCCGATTGGTGTCATCACAACTTGAGGTTCCAGGAATCCTGTCTGATTTTTTAACAAATCTCAAAACCTTCCTAACTGGCATGTTTAGAAAAAGAAAAACAACAAGCCTTGGTGGAAATACGCTTTAGAAAGGCAGTTCTTCCCTGGGAGGACCCTGGATCAGAGTGTCATTGTGATGGAAAAGTCTGTGAGCAGGAGGTAGCTCTGGGCAGAAACTGACCCTTCCCAAAGTTGAGTGTAACCTGCCAGGCCCATCCGCCCGTCAGAGCCACCTGTTGTCCCAGGCTTCTGGGCCCTTCTTTTGCTCTTAGGTATTCTATGGGCCCCCAGCCCAACATGTACAAGCCCATTGCCTGCCCTCAGAGGAGAGGATCTCATTCCCTATCCTGCACCTACGTATCTTCTGTCCCTTCCCCTTCTCATTCATAATAAACCTGTGCAGGGTTTGCTGATAATGGAACTTCAAAACGTCCATGGCAAATTTAGTCCACATAAGCTGGAATATTCTGAATTCAAATATGTGAAATGCTAATGACAAATGATGGAGAAAGGAAGTCAAGGCATGGGAATAAAAACTCTTAAACATTTCTAGGTATCTACTCTTTTATTTTATTTTATTTTATTTTGGCTTGGAGGAATTCAAGTTTTTACCGGTAAAATCCGATGACCAGCTTTCTTTTGAGAGGTTTACTTTTAAGTGGAAAAGCACCCATCCCCTCATTGTCAGTGCCTTCCCCTTATCTCTTCCTTCTGGGTTGTTGGTCTAGGGTCATGGGGGTGAGGGGGTTGGGAAACTATGGCCCCTGAGCCAAATTCATATTCATTTGGTATGCCCAGGAGCTAGGAAGGGTTTTCTTATTTTAAAAAGGTTGTTGCAAAAACAACATGAACAAAGAAGAATGACCCACAAAGCCTGAAATATCATCTACTATCCAGTCGCTGAGCTGAGTTTCTGGGTCTGCTTTAGCTGGGCCAGGACCTTATGTGAATGTATCTGGAGGCATCGTGACGATCCATATTTGTGAAGACTCACGCTCCCATATTTGGAACCTGAGAGCAGAGGTGCTGGGTGGGATCACACTGAAGCCCCAGAAATCTATATATCGCCAGAGCTTCTGCCTCTGCTGCCCAACGAACAGTGAAGGGCACCTCCACCAATAAGAGTGTGTGCACTTGGGGTGGGGGGCTACCTTCATTTGAGAGTTGTGAGGGTAGTACTTCCAGACATGTAAGCCCAGGGAGGGCCCAGGTCAGTAGGGATGTCCAGGTCCTGAGGTGGGGTCTGCTCCACCAACGCCATCTGAGCATACCCCTGAGAAGCAGTACACATGTTGCGGGTTCTAGGAGTAAGCAGGTGGGCATAGCCGAGATCCATGATGGATGTGGACCAGGCTGGCAGGGATTCTAAAGTAAGTACGGGGAACAGATTTCAGGCAGTAGCAGGAACAGGGTGCCAGCCAGAAGAAGACAAAGACCAGGAAGGGCTGCGAGTGGCTAATGGATAGCTCTCCATGTATTAGGTCACCCCAGTGAACCCCTGCATTGCCAGGGTCTTATGGGTAAGCAGTCCCCCAGGAGCTGTAATTGGTGGTGTCAGGCTCAGGTCCAAAGTTGGCACGAAAAGCTGGACTGACTGGCTAGGGCTTGGTTCACACCGTGCTTAAAACTTCACAATCCATCATGGCCTTAACCAGAAGGCCACTGGCTCCTCCCTGAGCTTCAGGAAGGTGGAGAACATCCCTGACCACTACCAGGATCAGCAATGCAGAGCAGGGAAGAGAGGGGGTGTGCAGAAAGGTGGGCCAGGCAAGCTTCCCACATGAAGCTCTGTGCACAGGGTTGGCTGTGACACCCAAATGTAAGCTCAAGTGTCCTTCCCAGCACCCTGTGCTCTGAGCCCAAGACAGTGGCATGAAACATGTCCCAGCACCGCACCCCTCAGGTCCCAGGGAGATGGGATTTGACGGAATGTCAGGTTACCACCCTGCTTCAAGAAGCAGCAGGAAGCTGCAATTTCCTGCTGCAATTGACCACAGGCTGCCTCGCAAGGCAGAATGTTCTCAGGGCTCTCCAGAAGCCTGTGGCATCCCCTGTTTATGGTTGGTTTCCGGAAGCAGACTCTGGATGAGGATTCCTGTGCAAGTAACATTTCAAAAGTGTTTCCAGGAGAGAATCATCAGAGAGCGAGGAAGGAAGATGGGGAGGGATTCTGCACAGTCCCAGCCTCAACCTCATTCTCCGGGGGCTCCTGGGAGAGTCCCTCCAAGAGGCAGGGCAGGGAGCTGGGCTTTCCTTTCCTGCCTTCAACCCTCCCTGTGGCTGCCCTGGGATATATCAGCTCCCAGACTCCCGTGCTCTCAGAGCTTCTGGGTGAAGCCACCCCAGTGCCCAAGGGCAGATTTCCTTCTCTGAAGGAAGCAGGCCAAGACCTGTAGGAAAGAAGCATACAGCTGTAACATGAGGCAGAGGTTGGTGGTGCCAATCCAAAGGCATCTGGGCAGGGCACCAGAAGCACTGCTCCATTTCCAGAGAACTTTAGTGGGGAGGAACCCACCTCTGAGTCCCATGTGAAAAGCACACCACTGGAGCAGGACCACCAAGAACCTTGAGTTCTACATAATTGGAACGCTTCATTGTGAAGCTGGGAACCAGGTAGTCAAGTGAACACAGGGTGAGGAGGGGCTGTTCAGCGTGAGGAATAGCAGTGGGTGCATGCGTGGGATTGGTCTGCCAGTTCAGCATTTTTGCCACCCAAGCAGGCAGGGCCTTCAGCTGCAGGTGCAAGTCCCCCTTCTTTCCCACCACACCCTTCTCCCTCACACATGGTGTGTGGCCGCTCAGGTGGAAACCACCTGGAACCTGAGACACGCACTCTAATCCCCTTCCATGGGGCAGAGGGTAGGGGGTCCCAGCCAATGGGGGTCCTTGGAAAGCATGT